TCTGGGCTCCAAAATCACTGCAGATGGTGACTGCAGCCATTAAATTAAAAGATGCTTGCTCCTTGGAAGACAGTTATGACCAACCTAGACAGCATATTAAAAAGCAGAAACATTACTTTGCCAACAAAGGTCTGTCTAGTCAAGGCTATGGTTTTTCCAGTAGTCATGTATGGATGTGAGAGTTGGACTATAAAGAAAACTGAATGCCAAAGAATTGATGCTTTTGAACTGTGGTGTTGGAGAAGACTCTTGAGAGTCCCTTGGACTGCAAGAAGATCCAACCAGTCCATGCTAAAGGAAATCAGTCCTGAATATTCACTGGAAGGACTAATGTTGATGCTGAAACGCCAATACTTAGGCCACCTGATGCGAAGAACTGACTCATTGGAAAAGACCCTGATGCTGGGAAAGATAGAAGGTGGGAGGAGAAGGGGACGACAGAGGATGAGATAGTTGGATGGCATCACCGACTCAATGGACATGAGTTTGAGTAAACTCTGGGAGTTGGTGAAGGACAGGGAGGCCTGGCATGCTGCAGTCCATGGGGTCACAAAGAGTCAGACACGACTGAGCGACTGAACTGAACTGAACTGAAAGGTTGCATAGTGTTAGTTGCTCAGTTGTGTCCAACTCTTTGTGACTCCATGGACTATAGCCCACCAGGCTCCTCTGTCCATGGGGATTTTGCAGGCAAGAATACTGGAGTGGGTAGCCATTCCCTTTTCCAGGGGATCACAGGTTTGATCCCTGGGTCAGGAAGATCCCTTGGATGAAGGCACAGCAACCCACTCCAGTATTCTTGCCGGGAGAATTCCCATGGACAGAGGAGCCTGGTGGGCTACAGTCCATGGGGTTGCAAAGAGTAGGACACAACTGAGCAATTGACAGTTTCACTTCCCAAAGTTGCATGTGGTATAAATGCAGTTGGTCTCTGTAAATTATATTGTTTCTGCAGATGAGATTTCTATCTCAGTGCAAGTACAGATACTCATCTGGAATGGCTGGCAGTGAGCAGACCACCAAATTTTTTAAGATGAAAGGAAATCATATATTTATCAACGAAGGATATGCCTATACCAGTCTAACATCTTTCTTTTGGGCTGGCTTCATATTGACTCAGAGTTATCAACTCAAAGGGAAATAAATTATTGATTAGCAAATTCAGTTAGATAAGACAAAGTCCTTTAAAACATAGCTAAACACAACAAACTAAAAAATTCTACAGGAGTCCAATAAGCAAATTAGTGAAAAAGGCCAGGTGTTAGGCAGTAGGGCATTGTGGAGACTGAGTTAAAACTGGAGAGTCCATTACTTATCTCAAGGGAGAAACCAACAGCAATTCAGCTTATTTGTACCATCATATGCAGGCTCCATGTGGCTGGATCTGATGTTTCAAATGCTGCCAGATAACTGGATGTTATTGTGTGATGTTTTATAATTTGTACAATAATACTCAAGCCAAACGAAACAGGCCTGCAGGTTGGGTTTTAAGTCCACTAGTTTTCAATACCTGGCCCACAGAATACATCTCTCTTAAACTGATTTAAACAGGCAACTTCTTGGAGGAGGCAGCACTTGAGCCAAGAAAGAATACAGATTTTTGTCCTTTATTTTCTGCTAGCAACTTCAATTCTGGAATCCCAAGCCAGAAGCATGTGATGGGGAGAGAATAAACATTAAAAGGAAAAAAAAAAAAACCCCACAAATTTAAAATATAAACTGAGTATTTCATGATCTATGCTCTAGATAATACAAAAATAATATCTCCAAGTCCATGGGAGAAAAAAAACTTTTTTCCTTTAGAGTAAATAATTTCTAAGTATGTTTATGGACATTCAGTGTTTTAGTTAGGAGCATCAGTAGAAAGAATGACAAGATTTCCAAACTGAGTTTTAACTTCATATTTGAAAATCTGGTGGTTTAAAGAACATCTTCTTCCAATCAAGTGGGGAGGGGGAACTCCCATAATCTTTAGTTTCACCTCCTTAAAGTGAGTGTTGCTGAGTCTCATTTGACCAGCCAAAAATAGCCCTTTTCTGCTGAGATCCTGAAATTTCACCACAGATGGTGTTTACAATATTTCACCAAGTCTAAGCTGCACGTTTTCTGATGTTTCCGTATCTCCTACATCAGAAAGCATCTCACAATCAATGGTGTTTTATAGTAGCTGGCTGCACGTGGGCGCACAAACACAGTATAGTTTTTCATACCATTAGCACCTCCCCTGAGCTCCGTGCCCTGTTGGAATTATACACATGCAGAGGTATTGCCATTTAAAATACCCGGTAAAGAATGACAAAGCAAATAGGACAAATTGTGTTGGGTCTGTAAGAATTCTTTCTACTCTTTTGAACTTTCACACATTTCAAATGATTTCAAAAGAAAAAGATAAAAAATGTCTTTTAAGAGAGATTACACTAAGAGTCAGCATGAAAGCAGACATTTATTATGTATGCAGCAAGGCGCAAAAATGCAGCAGTACAGAGCGACTTGATGTCAGTCAAGTGAATTTTTTTCAGCTGGATGATGCATTTCCACATTTTTCTTGCAGAGCATTTTATAGGACCACGCTGATGAAGCTGTATGATATTTTGTATCTAAGATACATGTCAAGAGATGTCTACTGCAAGCCAAGCCAGGCAACTGAAAGCAAGAGAAGATGCCAATCCCTTGGAATAGATAAAAGACATTTCAAAGCAAAGACTGATGTATAAGACCACCATTCACAAACCGTGTCAGAGTCCACTTTGCTGCATATTTTTCTTTCTGTGTGGACGTTAAAAACACACACATAACTTAAAACTGATACCAATCAAGAACTGATTGAAAATGGAAAATGCAGTACTTACTAGAGCATGGTAGTTTGGTAATTATTACTGTGAATTTATCTTAATACCTTTTGCTCTAGAATCTAGACTCAAAGCTGAGGCGTCCTCACTTGACTAAAAGGCAAAGTATCTTGACCATGAAAATGATCAAACCAACACTGTAAGCTCCATGAGGTTAAGACTACACCTGTCTTATTCACCGCTCATGGTGCCTGACACATGTCAGCACTAAACAAATATTCATTACAAATGAGTAAATGGATGGATGAAACTCAGCCAACTCCAGGCAAAGCAGATTTGCTCAGTAGAATATTCCCTCAGAGGGCTTCCCTGGTCTCTCAGTTGATAAAGAATCTGCCTGCAATGAGGGAGACCAGGGTTTGATCCCTGGGTCGAAAAGATTCTCTGGAGAACAAAATGGCTACCCACTCCAGTATTCCTGCCTAGAGAATTCCACAAAGGAGCCTGGTAGGCTATAATCCACGAGTCGCAAAGACTTGGACATGACTGATAGACTAACACTTTCACTTTTTTTTTTTTTATATTCCTTCAGAAGGCAGGGAGAGGGGTCAGATGATCATTTAACCTTCATCCTCTTATCTACTCTAAGTCTACATTCCACCTTTAATGCAGATTTTTAAAAGACTTCTCTTTATTCTTTTCAGACCAATGCTATTTTCTGACTGTCTAGCCACCACAGCAGCCGGGATTTGCTTTGACAACTGGTTACAGAGTGATAGCCCTAGCCTCTCTCAAAACAGCACCCTGATTCACCCCCTCCGGAGGTCTGGCTGCCTGGAGAAGAGCAGGTGCAGAAAGTGTTGATGTTGTGCCCAAGGGCAGGCAGAGATCTCCTGCCCAATCTCATGTGACCTTTAGCACTCTCAGCCTGGCGCCTGCCACAGGAAGACTCAGAATCCCTCTAAGTCACAGTTGAAAGTCGTCTTCGATTTAGAAGAATGAAATACTGTCAATTCTGTACTGCTAGGGGATGGGGATAAGGGACATACATATATATGTGAATAAGTAACAATCATATTTGTGGATTTTTTTTTGGGGGGGGGGCATGCAGCACAGCTTGAAGGATCTTAGTTCATGGACCAGGGATTGAACCCGGGCCCTCAGCTATGAGAGTGCTAAATCCTAACCATTGGACTGCCAGCAAACTCCCTGTATTGTATTAGAATATAAATCTCTTTAAAGCAGGGGAAAAAAACAAGCTTACATGGAAATAGTTAAACTATCTTGAAAAAATTGTGACTCTCTGATGGCATAACATATTGACTATTTTATTAATGTAATATCGTGGCTAAATTACATACTAGATTTTAAAACAATGCAGTTAATTATCAACCACCTGCAGCCATTGGACACACACCTTTCAGTCTTTGTAAATGCCCTCATAGTAATGACTATTAAAAAATTTATTTCTATAACTTAAGCTGAAAGGAATGGAACATTTTTGTCTATCAGCAGTAGTAATAGTGAGTCATAATAAGAAAACTGAAATAACAGTAAAATATTTTAAAGCTCCATTTATTCATGGAGACATTAATCTTAAATTTATTATTGTCCGCCTACTTAAAATATAGAGTGTAATTGCAATAGCAGGTGGTATCCATTCATCTACTAAAAAAGAACTTTTTAAAGCCCTACAGAAGCACTTATGCACAAAGGACTGGCCTAATTAGGCCTCATTCCTATTTATTCCTGCAGCAGTTCCCTGGGGATCTCAGCTTGTCGGTTTTGTGTGGCAGGAGTGAACAAAAGCTTGACCAGGGATGCTCAGGACTGAATTTCAAAGTCAACTCTACCACTTCTGAGTCTTTTCTTCTAGAAATGCTATTTAACACCTCTAAGCCTCAATTTCCTTCTTATAAAATAGGGAGAATAATAATACCTACCTGATAGGATTGTTAAGGTGATCGTAAGAGTTAATTCATATAATGGATGTGGATAATGGATGTGGCCCATACTAAGTGCTTCATAAATGTGGGCGGTTAGTATCCTTGTTACAGCAGTCACATAGATTGTGTCTTGGAGGATAACCAATAATTTAGATCTGCCGGTAACGATGAGGGGTTTCCCTCAGTTAGTGACAATTAGTGAGAATGTCCCGGTGTCAAAAGGAACGGGGAATAGAGCTGGGAGAGATTTACTGTGGCCCTGTCTTCACCATTTCTCCCTCCTCCTACTTACAGGTTTAAGATAGGCGATGTTACTGTGACGAATGTCATTCAAGAGCTGATCTCTGGGGGTAATCTCCACCAGCGGGGGTGGCCTATTTCTTGGCACGGGTTTGAGCGTTTTGATCACATCTTTGAGGTTGGTTTTCTCAGGTGGCTCTCTGGCTTCTGGCATCCGAGATTTGCGCTGGATCCTCTTCAGCTTCACCACGCGGAAGGAGTCGGGGTCCGTCCTGTACTTCGGCGGCTGCGATGGCTTTTTCATCGCTTCATTTTGTCGACCGAAGGGGACTGCTTGGGGGTTGGGAGGCCTAGGAGGAGGCGGCTGGAGGAACTCCTGCATCCGGGAATCCGGCATTGGTCCTCCCAGCATCTCCCACATCCCAGGGGGCAGCCCCAGCCCGTTCTCCAACATGGCTATTAACTTCCTCTGCTCTTTGAGCTGCTGCTGTTTCTGCTCTTCTTGCCTTTTCTGCCTTTGTCTATCCTGATTTCTGGTGAGCAGATTGGTTACCACCATTCGGGGACCCGGAAGCTCAAAATGGTAGCCCATCTTCAGGAGCGTGTTGTTCGCTTTCAAAAGCCTGGCGATTTCCATTTCAGCGTGGTGGCCCAGCATATGTCTCTGATTGTGAAACCGAAGTTCGGTGAGTGTCTCGTTAAACTGGAGACACCTCATGATGGCCACAATGCCCTTGCCTGTGATGAAATTGGACTCTATGTTGAGCGTGGTAATGCTCCTATTCTCACGCAACATGTTAGCCAGGGCGAATGCTACACTCTCATCCGCGCCCACGTTGGCTAAACTGAAGGTGTTGACGTGTTTGTTTTTCTTCATCGCATTGACGAAGTCCAGCAACATTTCTTTGGGGATGTTTTCAATGTTGTTCAGGTTGAGTTCCTTCATGTCGGGGTCGTTTCGTCTCACTCGCCTTAAGCTCCCATCCAGGTCGGTTTGGTTTCCCGAGGGCCTTGCACTTACCTTCAAAAAACTGGTATCTAGAGCTAACTTCTTGGGATCTAATTTCGATATTTTTTTCTCAGTTTTTTCTTGAGCCTCTGGTCCGCCTTTCTGTTCTTCAGTTACTTTACTAGTTACCTGTTGGCAGGTGTTCCCACCATTTCTGGTTTGCTCCTTTACCTCACCTTCCTCTCCTCTTTTTGTTTCATCCCTCTCTTCACTGTCCTCTTTTCCTTCATCTTCTTCATCTTCCTCCTCATCTTCATCTTCATCTTCATCATCATCATCATCTGTTTCTTGCACATTGTCACTGCCCTGTGATTTTCTTTTATGTGCAGCGATTTCACTGTTAAGTTTTTCTTTTAAATACTGGGAAATATTTTTATTGCTTCTGTCTGTTGCTTCATGCTGTTCTTGAGTTTTTTCCTAAAAGAGAAATTTAGAAAGGTTAGAATACGTAGTGGTGAAAAAATATGAAGAAGAGCAGTATCTATTGAAGGTAATAAAAAGATTTATTACCTAGTGAAAAAAAGTAAGCAAATAAGCTCTAGGTATAGTATTCCATTTGTTTACATGTATATTTACGTGTACATATGAATATGTATGCATGTACACACAATATATATATGTTTGTAAATGTATATGAAAAACAGACTGTTGTAATGTTTATCAAATTAATAGTTATCCTTGAGGAAGAGAGGTAATTAAGATAATTGAGGAAGGGATGGGGGGATTTTAACTTTTTACATAATTCTAAACTGAAAATTTTTTCTGAAACAAAGTATGTCTTTGTTAGTTGTTTTACAAGCAAATACAACCAAAATAAAGGTAGATTTTTATAGGCACACACAGGCACAGACATACTTTTTTTGGTTGTGTTTTTCTCCTCCCATGTATTAAAATGAAACCCAGTTAATTTTCAGACCCTCTGTTGTTTTTAAAGATAGTGTTCAGTTCCAGAAGCAGTTAAATAATTTTTGAAAACCTTATTAAAAAAAAAAGAAAACCTTATGGGATTATTTATCCATTCACTGAAGTCTTTGTTTTGTATACAGCTGAATAGGAATTTTGTATTCAATAGCTCTGTGTTACATATAATTTCCTTATTGGCCTAACCAAAATTTACATACCTAATATGTTTGTCAATCTAATATAATGTGCACAACAAATTTCCCTGAAAATAAAAGATATTGTGGGGGGAATGAGAGCAATTTGATATTTTGGAATATACCAAAATCCTTGTCTTTGATTTTTCGTCTGCTTATTAGCTCTGTGAAAACTCCCCAGATACTTCAGGCACAGGCTTTCCAGTCCAGTTCCTTTGGAAGGAATATTCTAGGAGGTAAGGCTAGGTATAAAAGGGGACAAAATTATCAGAGATTTAGAAAAAAAAACCTGCTTAGTTTGGAAAGGAAAATAATAGTCTTTTATCAATAATGTTTATTAAATGTTTACATTTTAATTATACACTTTTCCATAAAGGATGTGTACCTCATAGATGTCATTTTGAAAGCTGGTGTAGCAGTTTGACACAGAGGATTATGTGAGCAAGAACTTAGTCTATGGAGCCTCAGGAAACGGGTAAAGGAGGTCATTGATACGGCTACAGGTGGAAACTCAATTTTTAGTGGTGAGTATACTCTATATGGATCTCCCCACGTGGCTCAGTCATAAAGAATCCGCCTACCAATGCAGAAGACATAGAAAACATGGATTCGATCCTTGGGTCAGGAAGATCCCCTAGAGGAAGAAATAGCAACCCACTCCAGTATTCTAGCCTGGAAAATTCCATGGACAGAGTACCTGGTGGGCTACAATCCATGGGGTTGCAAAGAATCAGACATGACTTAGCAACTGAGAATAATACTGTAGGTAGAAATAGAAACGTATAATGTTGTACATGTGAAACTTGTGTTATAAACCAATATTATTTCAATAAAAAAATAAGCCTAAAATTTAAAAAAAGGAAAACCTTGATTTTACTGCTCACAACATTATAGATTGGAATTGACAGTTGACACGTAAACTAAAGTTTTCTCTGCATTTCTCATTTGTCTCAGCAGGGGGAGCCAACCATTAAGCTGTTTAAATTATACAAAAGGAAGAAAAAGGGTTACAAGTACCCAAGTTTGTTTTTCTCGGAAATTGGTATTCACGTAGAACTGGCTTTTACTCAAGTTGTAAACTGTCTATAAATTGTACCTTAAACTCTAACCTGGTAAAGTCAGCAACTTATTTTCTTAAGTGCAGTACATGTTTAAACTCTCCTGACCATGAAATCAGTTTATAACTTTACTAAAATTTCAGCGAGTATGATGGTAATGTGATAAGACGTTATCTACCAAAAATAAATCTGCAGGCATAACTACAAGAGACTTTACCTCTGAGGATCTCTGTTTTCTTTTTGCCAAGTCACTTTTAAGTGACGTTAAGTGACGTTAAAAAAAAATATGCTGATATGCACTTCTAGTTTTCATATAAGGAACATATTTAAAGAAAAAACTATCTTTAAAACAGCTAATAGAATCAACTTCTAAATTCACCACTGATACCCAATGAACTGTGGTAATGTTGGATTTTTTGTTACTGGACTTGGTTTAATTGTAGGGTGTGTGGCTGAATTTCCGGGGGACTGTGAAACACTTGAGATTGTATGTGAAACACTGCATATGTACCCCTGTGCCAGAAGGAGGACAGAGAGCTTTCTTCAGCATCGTAAAGGGTCCTGTGAGTCAAAAAAAAACATAAAAGACAAATGCTTCTGGGTTATAAGTTAGTTCATTAAATATTAATTTCATGCCTACAGAATACAGGTTTTCCTGTACAAGAAACCCCCAGAAATTTTTTAAAAGACATATTTACAAGAAACTACTACTTTTTTCCTCCCAATTATACTATGTAAGTGTTCTAGAAAGTTCTGATCTGGCATAGGATTAAATATTATGCTTTATGTATAAACGTCAACAAAACAAGACAAAACATGTGGTCTTGAGAAAAGACAGTTACAACAGGGACACGCATCAGCCCAGGCCAGGAAGCCACTTCTCCCTTATACACAAATCCCGTTACCTTGGTTGGCACAAAGGTGACAGGAACACGTTCGTCTTCCAGCATGCGTCTGGATGCCTTTTGCCAATACATATAATCAACGAGAGATTTATGGTCGAAGTTCCCTGTTGGTGGCTTGTCGGTCTGATCCTTCTGAATCATTCCCACGGGAAGCCTGGGGTCAGGGGCCATCACCTCCATTTCCGACTGTAGTTCTTTGAGCTCTTCTGGGGACAAGTTGGCCAAGATTTCATCTTCATCAATCTCCCCATCGATTTCTTCTTGATCTGAATTCCTGCTATGTTCTGACATGACTCTTTTCAATACTTTTCTGTCTTACTACAAGAGGAGAAATAATCAACAAAGATTTAAAAAAAGATAAAGCTCTCTCAAGAAGTTCCCCCAGTTAGTAAGTGTCCCAGGTCAATACCACCTTGAGATTTCCCTCTCCACCAAAAACCCCAGTGGGGCTTGCTGAGCTGCTAGGGGTGACTGCAACTAAGTTCATGCCGTAACTATATTAAGCAGGGCTTGGTTGGAGAGGGTCAATTTATGGAACTACTATGCTCCTCTCTTCGGCAGCTTGAGTCAGCTGTGCAAATCCATCTGACATTTCAGTACAGCTGCTTAGGTTCGCCAGTGAGCACAGGCCTCCCAAACCTCTACAGGAGTAAATTATTAGTTCTCTTCCTATGAGCTCTCATATTGTCCTACGCAAATTCATGCAGCCCATACACACACCCAAGTCCGGCAGGGGAGGCACTTCTTATTTAAATGAGGAAAGCAACTTACAATATTTCAGAAGAAAAATCCAAACAGTGACTTGAGGTCTATTGAAGTGAAAAATTCATTTGAAGGTGAAAATCAAGCTCTCAGGGCTTGCCTCTTCACTACCATGAGACTCTGGAAGCAAATAAAACTGCACCCAGGCGAGCAGAGCTCTGGCTATGTTACTCACCCACTGCGTAAGCTGAACCTCTGCAAGACATCCTTATTTGCATCCAGATCCTGTGATCTAACAGATGGGGATGAGCAGCACTTGAATTTCCACTATGAGTGAGGAGTTTAATATTTTAAATAATTTGTTTTTCTTTTTAAATGTCCATTAAGCCAGGATAAAAATGTAAATGGATCTAAATTGAAATATTAAATTCAAACCATTAAAGTATTGGAAGCAACCAGGAAAATATTTTCTTTTTCATAACTTTAGAGGACAATATGGCAATATTTATCCAAATGACAAATGCATACTGTCTTTGCCCAAATGCGTACTTTCAGCGTGTAGGAATGTATTCTACAGATATACCCCCAACATGGGTGAAATAATAGATGTGTACAAAGCAGTGTATTATATGCTATTATTTGTGTCATAAAACAAAAACAATGTATGTATATATATTTATACAAACTTTATCAACAGATCCTTGGAAAGATACACAAGAAACCAATACTAGTGGATGCTATTGGAGAAAGAAATGGGTTGTCTGGGGGACAGGACTAGGAAAATAGACTTTGTTACTGTATACCTTTTATAACTGCAAATTTTGAAACTTATAAACATAGTGCCTACTCAAAAATATACATTTATTGTATAAAACTTAGGATAACACATGGAAGCATAAAATTTCCCCTTATTGCACCATTAAGAGCTACCACGATGAACATTTTGGTTTATCACTCTAGTCAGTCCTTTTTTCCAGGCATATAAACTCAATAATCTTTTGTCATCTGTCTGTTTTTTAACTTACAAAATCATGTGTTTTTTCTAGTCAAGAATATATTCTACTACTACATTATTTTTAATAACTCCCTGTTAAGATTCTTTATATGGAAATTCCATAATTAATGTAAGCAATCTCCAATTATTGAATATTTGGACTGTTTTTGATGCTCACAAGCACTTCTTCAATAAATATCCCCTGTAGTAAAATATTTATATACATGCAAGTTTAGGATAAATCAAATACATACCAAGAAGTGAAATTACCAGGTCAAAGAACATGAGGAAATTTAGGGCTTTTCATATGTATGGCTAGGTGATCCCCTCAATATTATTATAACCCATCCTCAATACATGTATATTACTTGCAAATTATATACATGTGTTACTATTTCAATATCATCAATAATATATAATTATATTTATACATAAATATAAAATATACATTGTCAAACAATATAGTCTTCTATATATATAATGTTCATAAGTATAAATAAATTAAGTATATACAGACATCTGTATAATAAAACATATGCAAAAATTACTTTACAGACAACTGATTTGCAGACCATCATTTCAGAGGCTTAGCTTGCAAAACAGTGATCACAAAGAGTTGGACAGTACTGAGCACGCACACACACACACGCAAAGAGATTGTACCAAAAAGCGTTTTGTGTTCAAGGAGGTTTGGAAATGTTATATTCTGCAATTGTCTTTTAGAGATTTGTAAAGCATGTGAACTTTTGACTCTGAGAAATAATATGTGGAAGAAACCCATTTATTTAGCCCAACACTCCCCAACTTTATTTAGTTAATTCAAGCTTTTTTTTTCCTTTTAAAAATCACTAATATCCTTGCAATTAGTTTCCAAAATTTGTACTTTGGGAAATAATGATATAAAAGCAAAAGATCTGGAATCAGTCTGCTGGATTCAAACCACAGCTCGACTCCTTAGTAACTGTGTGATGTTTGGCAACTTACTGACCCCCAATTTCTCATCATATAAAAGGTATCTGAGGGTAATATTCACCATATGCTATTAATGAGAGAACTAAATGAGGATACAGATAGATATTGATGTAAATATATAAATTAAGTAGGATGGTGCATGGCACAGAGCAAAACCTCAATACACATTAAATATTACCAGTTTCATATTTCACGAATAACCACATAAACACTTGAAGAGAAACAAAGGCAACTGTGAAATGTAATCCATTTTATAAACCACTTCCATAACAGAAACCATTATATTAATGGCAATAAACAAAAATGGTTTAAAAAATCTTGCTCTTGCAGAAAGCAACTCAGAGGCTTTTAGGTGGAATTGTGAATAGGATTCCCACGTTTCTTAGTGAAAAAGAATCTGCTCTCCAGGTTCAATCCCCGGGTAGGGAAGATTGTCTAGAGAAGCAAAGGGCAACCCACTCCAGTATTCTTGCCTGGTAAATCCCATGGACAGAGGAGCCTAGTGGGCTATATAGTCCATGGGGCTGCTGCAAAGAGTTGGACAGAACTGAACACGTTTATAAAGAAAATGGAAAATCATCATTTGCATGTAAATAGGAATGAGAAAATGATCTGAAGTGTTGCTTGTAAGCTTTCAGATTCGTATTACTATTCTGGTGACCAAATGCTTTTGACGATCATGCAGATTTAGAAATTTCGTGAAGGGACGCTGCCTCAGCTCACTTCCATCTTGCTGACTGAGTTTGCAAAGGGGGTACATCTCTCCCAGCTGCTTCCATGGTGCAGTTCATCCATATGCTGACGGGAAGAGTTTTGCTGGTGTGATTAGCCTCATTTGATGCACAGATGATTTAGCTGTGCTTTCTTTTAATGATGTCCTGCTGCTGCCACCTCAGCAGCTTCTCACATCACAATCCAGCTATGATGCCGAGAGAGCAGCAAGCTGTAGGATCACCGATTGACTTTTATGGTCACACAGGGCATCACAGGTCAGAATCTCTAACAGAGCTTTATTCAGTGCCTGGGACCCCCACCCCATTAGAAGTTACTAAATCAGAATTCTCAAGTTTGGATCCAGGAATCTCCATTTCTTTGGAAAGCTCTTCAAGTGATTCTGGTGTATAAATGGGTATGAGAGGGAATGCCTTGGTGGTCCAGTGGCTAAGACGTCATGCTCTCGATTCAGGGGGCCTGGGTTCAGTCCTGGTCAGGGAACTAGATCCCACATGTTGCAACTAAAGAGCAAGCAAGCCACAATGAAGACCCAGTGCAGCCAAATAAATAAATATTTTTAAAAAATGAGTATGAGAATCACAGCACCATTGCAAGCCACTCATTTTATTTTATTATTTTAAGCCACTCATTTTAAAGATCAGGCTCAGAGACCTTTAGAAACTTTGCCTTTGATGAGGTTCAGAACATGCTACCTAAAAATATGGCACCTTGGCATATTGAACATTTTAAGCTGGAGGACTCTGAGAAAGCATGTGCTGGAAGGACTCTTTGACCTCCCTCTTCATCCCTGAATCAGGTCAGGAGACCCTCCTGTAAGAGAAGTGTCTTTACCTCTGAAGACAGAGAGGCCAAGATGAATCCAAACAGGCCCTAGTTGACTACCTGTGCTCATACCATCTGCCCTGTCTCATTTTTTCCTCCTGACTTTCTACTCTTCATCAAACCTAGTATAAAAACACTTAACATGTCTTGGGGTCTTTATTCCCTTATGAAGACTTCTATGTCATGCAAAATTACATTAAGTAAAATTGTATGTGTTTCTCTTGTGAATCTGTCTTCTGGTCCAGTTTATAGGGCGAGAATTGGAGAATCTAGGAATGCAACAGGAAGAAGAATTTCTACCTCCCCTACCCTGGGCAAGTCAACCTCTGGGCCTCATTCCTACTTCATCTATAAAAGTTGGATGGTAAATGGACCTACTTCAAAGGATTTTGGTGGGGGAAAAACCTAGATGGCATTATTCATATTCAGTTCAGTTCAGTCGCTTAATCATGTCCGACTCTTTGCGACTCCATGAATTGAAGAACACCAGGCCTCCCTGTCCATTGCTAACTCCCAGAGTTTACTCAAACTCATGTCCATCGAGCCAGCGATGCCATCCAGCCATCTCATCCTCTGTCGTCCCCTTCTCCTCCTGCCCCCAATCCCTCCCAGCATCAGGGTCTTTTCCAGTGAGTCATCTCTTCACATGAGGTGGCCTAAGTATTGGAGTTTCAGCTTCAGCATCAGTCCTTCCAATGAACACCCAGGACTGATCTCCTTTAGGATGGACTGGTTGGATCTCCTTGCAGTCCAAGGGACTCTCAAGTGTCTTCTCCATCACCACAGTTCAAAAGCATCAATTTTTCGGTGCTCAGCTTTCTTTATAGTCCAACTCTCACATCCATACATGACCACTGGAAAAACCATAGCCTTGACTAGACAGACCTTTGTTGGCAAAGAAATGTCTCTGCTTTTTAACATGCTATCTAGGTTGGTCATAACTTTCCTTCCAAGGAGTAAGCATCTTTTAATTTCATGGCTGCAATCACCATCTGCAGTGATTCTGGAGCCCAAAAAAAAACAAAGTCTGACACTGTTTCCCCATCTATTTCCCATGAAGTGATGG